TCCATCTGCTCTAGGCATACAAGCAATACACACACATAGAAACAGGCAAAACATCCATACACACAAAATAAAATTAATTTAAAAAATACAGAAATATTTGAGTATCCAGAATTGTGGTGCAGCCATATAATTGTATATTGTACTGCCATTGTGGGTTATGTTTCATAGGGTCCTACGCGATATAGAACAATATTCATATTACTTATGAGAAACATGGACTGAAAATTAACAAATGTAGTAAGATCTTAAATTATACAAAAGAAAACATACACATGTTCAGAGAAAATGTTAGGGGGAAACATTAAAATGAACTGTTTGATGTTGACACCTTGATTGATATTCAGTTTGTTCATTCTGATTGTTGGTATTTCCTGAATCATCTACAATAAATGTGTGCTTTTGGAATCAGAATTATTAAAAGCAAAAGGCTGGGTCTGCATTCCCAGCAATTGTCAGGCAGTGGCAGAAGGATCAGTTCAAAGCCATCCTCAACTGCATTAACTGTGAAGTTAATTTAGAAATTTTGGTTGTGTGAGTTCTATAGTAAACATTTTTCTTTTTTCTTTTTTTTCTTAAGATAGCTTCTTACTGTGAAACCCAGGTTGGCCTGTAACTGCTATGTAGATCAGACTGGCTTCAAACTCACAGATTGGCCTGCCTCTGCCTTCAGTGTTCTGGGATTAAAGACATATGCTACCATGCTGTGCTCAAATATCTTTTGATCTATCTATGTAGCTTTATTTGTCCTTCCAGTGAAAGACCTGAATTTTTCTTTGACACATACCCTTCACTATTTTAGTCTATAGAATATGGGTGAAGTAGATCTCCAACCCCAGCTCTACTGGGGGGGGGGGAGCATATGAAACAGACCTGGTTAATAATTGTCTCTTTATTCTTCCTTCTTTCCTTCCCTCCTCCCCTCCCTCCCTCCCTTCTTCCCTCCCTTCCTCTCTCTCTCTCTCTCTCTCTCTCTCTCTCTCTCTCTCTCTCTTTTGAGACAGGTTTTTCTACAGCCCCGGATATCCTGAAACTCACTATGTAGATCAGCTTGGCCTCGAACTCACGGAGATCTGCCTTCTGGGAGCTGCCACCACACCCAGGCCCAATTGCTATCTTCTTTCTCCCTGGTTTCAGGGATGAGCAAGAGGCTTAAGACTGGACAGTGAGGTGTTGTGGAATATTAGTTAAAGGTGGGTTCTTTTATGCTGTGGAATATTTGTTTAACAATGCAAAATGTGTTGTATTCTTTTATGTTGCTTTTGCTTAACTCTGTGAAGCTGTGCTACTTTGTCTGCCTAAAACATCTGATTGGTCTAATAAAGAGCTGAATGGCCAATAGCTAGGCAGGAGAGGGATAGGTGTGGCTGCCAGGCAGAGAGAATAAATAAAAGGAGAAGAACAAGGAGCAAGAAAAGGAAGAGAGGAGGACACAAGGGGCAGCCACCCAGCCACACAGCCAGACATGGAATAAGAAAGGAAGAAAAGACATACAGAAATAGGAAAAGGTAAAAGCCCAGAGGTAAAAGGTAGACAGGATAATTTAAGAAAAGCTGTCTAGAAACAAGCCAAGCTAAGGCCAGACAACTATAAGTAAGGATAAGTCTCAGTGTGATTATTTGATTATGTGGGGTGGTGGGGCCCCAAGGAACAAAGAGTAAAAACTACCAGCTACAGTGAGACTCAGTCACTACTTTTACTTTTTTGTTTACTTATGGTTTTTGTTTTGTTTTGTTTTGCGACAGGGCTTCACTATGTAGCTCTGGCTGTCCTGGAACTAACTCTGAGAGCAGTCTGGCCTCGAACTCACAGATCCACCTGCCTCTGTCTCCCTAGTGCTGGGATTAAAGGCATACACCCCGCCCCCCCCCGCCCCCCAGCCAGTCACTACTTTTATAGAAGAGGCTGATGGGATAGAAAACTGTGCTTCCATTGGCAGTGGGGACCAGTAAACTTAGCTGCCTCTGTACACAGGACACCAGCAGAACAACAGAGGAAAGGATGCGTAAAGGATATAGGTGGAGGGGGAAAACCATCTTTATCTTACACACACACACACACACACACACACACACACACACACACACACACAAACACACACACACACTGCTATCACTACCACCTTTCAAATCCTGACAACTTTGAGTCCTTGAATGCAAGAAAGTCTGAAGTGCAACACCCCTGTGTCTGTCAGGTCTCAGCGCCGATAAATTCTGTTTCTTTGCTTGTTTAAGTCAGTTTGAAATGAATTCCCTCAAGCTGCAGTCAATAGCCCCTCACTAAAATAATGACAAAGACAGTAAAGTATATAAAACACAATCATGGTAGCATCTAGGGTTATCACAAAATACAGTGTAGAACTGACCCATCTATCCTGTCTGTGCAATAAAACCTTTGAAAATGTTCAGTTGGACAGTGCTCTATAGCACGGTTCATTCTCATAGCCCTGCACTAATAGCGCCTTGCACATGTCTTCTTGCAGTACAAAGTAGGCAGGGGGTACTATTGAAAATAGCTAACAACCCTAAAAGCACAGGTACTGTAGGCTCTCTGCTGTGCTCAGCATTCAACCTGTAATTGCTGGATCTAAGGAGATGTGAGGTGTCTCGGGAGTGGGTTGGAATAGGGGGGCACTTAGGATGTGTTTGGGGATGGCTCTTTAAAAAAAAAAAATCAGTACAGTAAGATTCCAATATTCTACCAGCCAGCCAATATGGCCTTGTTGAAGTAACTGGCTCAACATGAGTGCTGTTTTCAGATATTACTGTTTCTTATTTGAGAGGCTGTTTTCCACTGTGCACTGCGAATTCCTATAGGCAGGGATTTTGTCTTATTAATTTGTATATAGGTCTGGGTGCCTACAGGCAAGTCCTGGGCATTCAATAATGTTTGCTGAGTGATAAATTGTATAATTCTCCATTCTGCCTTTATTTTTTTCCCAATAGAAATTTCTTGTCTAGAATTAAATTGCAATATGTTGTCTTTTCACCACACTTCTGAAGATGTTATCCTCTCTAATGTCAGTTGATTGAAGAAGAAAATTGTAATTTTTCTCTGTCAGGCATAATGTTGATATTTTAACTCAGTGGCCTTTTTTCCTTAACACAAGATGGATTTTAGAAATAAATCAAGATCCTAGGTATTTAGGATTTTTTTTTTCTTTTTTGGAGTAGTATCGATTACTTCTTCCATCCTAAGAATAAGGTATGTCTTGATGCCTCTCTGCAAATGTGTGGCCTGAACTAGCCATTAAGACATTGGGCATGGGCTCCCACCTTGGACCCTGAAGATTGTGAGAATAAGAATAGTGCCTAGCTCCTCCTTGCTGCTCAGCAGGCACTTCAGAAATGGCTTTGAATGAAGGGACAGATAAAATTGTTTCAGGAGAGGCAGTTATATACCTGGATCATTCGATCATCCTTGAATACTGATCAATTTTAAGTGACTAGCTTTAAAAACGTATTTTCTTAAGCTAACATAGGTCCTGTTGTAGGTTTCTCTGTAGACCAGGCTGGCCTCAAACTCACAGATATCCACCTGCCTCTGTGCTGGGACTAAAGGCATACACCACCACCACCCAGATTATTTTCCATTCTTAAAAATATATGTTTACATATTATCTACCTATCACCTATCTATCTATAGATCAATCTACATATTTGTGGGTGTGTGTCTGCTGTATTTTACTTTCTTAGGCGTTCTGTAAGGAGTGTCTTATCCATTAATCAGAATGCCAATAAGACCGATCAGAGCCCTTGCCACCAAGCTGGATGACTTGAGTTGGACTCCCAGGACCTACACAGTGGAAAGAGAGAACACACTCTTGAAAGTTGTTCTCTGACACACACATAAAATTGTAAAAGTAATAAAGAATATAAAGGGGAAACTCAACACCCATGAGGCCTCAAACTCTCTCTCCCCACTATTAGGTATGCAATCTTGGGTCACTTTTGGAGCTAAAATAATAAACGTTTATTCTCCCTGCCTCACAAACTTAATTGTAAGCCTGGATAATGGGGTACAGAACTACAAAAACCCTATACAGGGGAGTTGTTGTTACCTTCCTCCCACGGATAGCCACAGTGACCATAAAATGCTTTTGAGTAGATGTCTTAACAGAATTACTTTAGGAGCTGGAGAGATTGGTCACTGGAAGAACAAGAGTTCAGAGCAGTTGGGCTCCCAGCGCCCACAAGGCGATTCACAACCATTTGCAACTCCAGTTTCAGGGGATCTGACCCTTTCTTCTGACCTCCCTGGGCACTAGTCACACATGTGGTGCACAGACACACATGTAGAAAAAACCCTTATACACATTATAAAAAATCCTTAAAATTGTTTTACTTTTACCTTGCTCCTAAGGCTGGCCAAAACAGGGGTGAGGTAAGGGGAGCGTGTGTGGGTTGGGTTTGGGGAAGCAGGAAGGCAGGGTTAGATTAAAAAAAATCACAAGAGAAAAGGCACCCAAAAAAGCTCATTCGCATTTGGGTGGTTCCAAAGTGTTTCCAAAGCTAACTCCTTCACAAGGAGCCTCTCCACACTCACTGGCCCAGTTTCCACAAGTCTCAGCAGGAGCTTGGTTGGGCGGAGGTCCACATCGGCCAATAGAAATCAGCTGTGTTCTTACAGGTTTCGCTGCAGGTGGAGAAACTGAGCAAGAAAAATTACTTAAACTTGGGCTCAGCCTTGCGCTGTGGTGTGGGGCGCCACAATTGGTTCCCCTGTACTAGCAGGAACGCAGAACAATGTTTTTGGACCCAATTTCCTAGTCCTTTCGCAAAGCAATCGGACTCCTATCTCTTCCACTGCCCGCGGAGTTTAGCCTCCCCTAGCCGGAGTGGGCTGGGGGTGGGGTGGGGTGGAGTAACCCCTGCGGTTGTCCTTTATTGTCTAGGGAGCACCTGCCAGGTGGCTGGCGGGTGCCTAAAGCGCGCGTGGCGCCAGTCTTCACAAAGCGCGGGCAGCACCTGCGTGGCCAGCGAGCAGCTTAGGGAAGGAGAACCACCGATGGAGGGAGACAGACGGGAGGAAGAGGATCTGGGATGGATGACCTATGGGTGCTCGAGGCCTCAAAGGGCACAGCGCCCCCGGGATCAGCACATCCCGAGAGTCCCGGGCACCAGGCAGCGGGAGGGAGTGCGACCCGGGAGGGAGGAGGGAGGGGCGTGGCCGCGCGCTGGGGGAGGGCTGGAGGAGGGGCTGTCGCGCGCCGCTAGTGGCTCTGGGGGCTCGGCTTTGCCGCGCTCGGTGCACTTGGGCGAGAGCTGTAGCGGAGAGAGGAGCTCAGAGTCTAGCGCAGCCACCGCGATGAGAGGCGCTCGCGGCGCCTGGGATCTGCTCTGCGTCCTGTTTGTCCTGCTGCGTGGCCAGACAGGTGGGAGAGCGCGGCAGACAAGAGGATCGCACCCTCCACCCCGTGGGCGCAATCCTGGGTCCGGGAGGGGTGCCACCAGCTGGGGTGCATCCAGAGTGGTGGCTGTTGGCTTTTCCTCTGCCTGTGTGTTACACAGTGCGAAGGTGGCGGGCGGCCGCGGGACTCTGTTGGCCCGCCTCGCTCACCTGCGCCCGGAGCCGGCAGCCGCTGGCGGTGGAGACCCGGAGCCGAGAGTCTTCCGGGAGCCCGGACCGCGGGGCTGCAGGCTGCGGGCGACTTTGGCGATGCTTTTGTGCGGACTGAGCCTGAGTGGCAGTAGCTGGCGGCCTGGGGCTTCGCACCGAGAGCGTCCTCTCTTCAGTGCGAGGCGCGGCCGCGGCTTTCTTTTGTTAAAAGTTGCGTGTGGCGCCCGGCGCCGGGTTGGACCAGCCCGCGGGTCCCTGGACACGCGCCGGGCAAAGTTGGAGATCATTTTTTTTTTTTTTTTTTTTTTTTTGGCTCTGCGGCCGCTGCTTTCCCACCGCGGTCTTTGTGCGCAGAGCTGGGGACCCAGCTGCAGTCGCTCTGGTCGTGTGCGGCGTCACCCGCGGAGGCGAACCTCGGGCTTGCGTGCGCTCTCCCCCCCCTCCTTTTTGCACGGGGAACACGCGACGAGCGGCTTTGGGGCGGGACCCCGCGAGCCTGTAGGTGGCGGCTACGACGGGGACAACTTGAGCCAGACGTGTGGCGAGCAGCCGCTAGGTTGCAGACTTTTTCCTTTTGTAAGTCTCGTGCTAAAGGCTCGCCCCTCTCTGCAACCGCACGGTGTACATTGCTGCCACGCGCCGGGGAGCTGCTGCAGCCTACGTTGGCCGCCAGCTCCTGGGAAGCAGGCACCTCGTGCGGGGCCGCAGCTGTTCCTTGCCACCTCGTGCGCACAGTATGAAGGACGAGCCAGCTCGCCCTAGCTTTGGAAACCGCTGGTCTCAGTGTATGAGACTTGTAGTCGCAGGTGGCCGTTTTCTTTAGGAATCCCGAGAGCTAGGAACCCCCCCCCGCCCCCTCCCAATACGATAGCCATCCTCTGGCCGCATGGGGGTGGGATGGGGGAGAATGGGTGAACGTCCATTCGTTTCTTCATGCTGTTTAGGAAAACCATGGTACTCTGCACGGGAACTTGGGTCGCAAGGTGGAGGAGGATGTATAGGCTCCTGGAGCTCCTTAGCCCTGCCCCTTTTTGCCAGGTGTCGCTGGTGCGCTGCCTTTTCGGGTCCCCTGGCTCTAGTCGTGAATCCTTGGTCACTCCCAGGTCGTTTTCAAAACAAAACCCAGAAACCCTTTAAGGTTACCTTGATGGTAGAGAGAATCTGAGCTCTGAAATGAAGCGTCCAAAGGCCAGCAACGCTGTGTGACCTGTTTGGAACCTGCCGCTGGCTGAATTTCCCAGATCCCACTCTCCCGGTGCTCATGTGAAAGGCCCAGGAAGGCTTTCCTCTGTGTGTGTGTGTGTGTGTGTATGTTGGGGGGTTACATCTAGAGAGTGTGTGTTGGGGGTTACATCTAGACCCCTGTGCCAGAGGAGGGGTCACCAGGGAACACAAATGAGTGTCCAGATTCCTAGGCGTATTTGACCGCTTAGCTGAAAATGATCCCTGCGATCTTTATATTTTCTACCGTGTGCTGCTTTAGACCAAGGTGGAATACCAGAAAGATCATAGTTCCCCCTTAAAAACTGAAACCAATCAATGGTTTGCATCTTCCTCTTGATTAGTATGCACTGACCAATAACTTTGGCAAAGAGAATTTGAAGGTCTGTTTTCTGGCAGGCAGTGTGTTGTAATGGCAAACCCTTGCTCTGCCCCTCCAGTTTCAGGCCCCCTTTTCAGACCTATAGCCTCCTTGGTTATGTGCCCTTGGGCGGGTCATTTAAATTCGGAGTGGGTGGTGCCTTCAGTTTTCCTCTTGGGATGTGTGTGTGTGTGTGTGTGTGTGTGTGTGTGTGTGTGTGTGTGTGTGTTACTGCTATGCTCCTGGCTCAGCAGGAAGCAGTTTTGTGTTTTTGTTTATGTTGTGATCTCTCTTTGGAGGGCTAATAAGTGCCTATAGTAACCCCTCCTCCTTCCTGGGCATTCCCAGCTTTTACAGCTCTACCGGATGGTCTTGAAAACAGTGAATCAGACAGACCTTCCTCCTTTCCTCCAGGTGCAAGACCCTAGTCATTCATGCACCTGGCATTCTGGCTTATGATCCCACTGGAAATAATCTGATAGTTTTGTAATAAAGAGATCCCATATAATTTGACTTTCCCCACCCATCCACAAATTTCTTTTTTCTTATGACGTTTTAAGTCATGTGTGCCATGCTTTTGCAACATGCTTTCTAATGTGCCTTAAATATCATATCATGGGTGTGCTTTGTGCATACGTGGGGCTTTTTAATCAGCAAATGTCTGCCAGGCCCCGTGCTGAGGGCTTTTCCTGCTGTTTCCCTACTCAGGGAGCCCAGGAGGTTGGACCACTACAGCCTCTACTATTTTCCTATTGGAGAACAAGTCGCTTGCTCAAAATAATCAGTGAAGGAGCCTGAGCTCAGCTCCATATGCCCACTGTGTATCCATTTATACAACTTGCTAGAGTCTGATGTAAAGCAAGATGCATACAAAAATATTTAATGAGTGCTTACTGTAAGCCCAGCCCTGTTCTGAGCCTCTGAGGCTACAGGGCTGCTGATTTTGGTAAAAGGGCTTCAGGCTACCTGTCTTGGAGTGTTTGGATTAGTCTTTTCAATTTAAGTGGGTTAATTTGCCAGGAGGATTCACTGTATAGCGTTTGAGCCTATTGTATGAGGGTTTTGAGGGGTTAGCTGGTCCCATCTGGTTAGAGTTCTTCAGAAGGGAAGATAGGTTATTTCTAAAATAAAGTTGAAAACCATTCCCAGCCCCCCTCGAATAAAGATGATTATAGCATTATGTATTTATTCCTGATAACTGGCGGGTCTCAGCGGTTGTTTACTCTGGCCAAACAAGGTGAAATACAGTGACCATTGACCTCATTCCCAGAAGAAATTCTCATCAGAAATGTAGTGCCTTGAGGTTGCAGATGTTGTTTTGGTGATGGATTTTGCCACTGTTGTTGACAGACCTTAGAAGTAACTCCTAGGATTTTGACTCACTTCCTCCAGCCGATTAAAGGACATTAAAGGAAATGAGGCAAACCAGCCTCGGTGTTCAGAGCACAAGTCTTAGCTGGATCTAGGTATGGGGTTACCCCTTAGAGGCAGGGGGCCAAGGTCTCATTTCTCCAGAGTGAATTAGGTTCAAGAATTGGCAGGCGGCAGGGGTGTGGGAAGTGCTGTAGTCATGTGTGGTAACTTTTCCAAAAGTGGGATTAAAAGACATTTGTAGGGATCCAAATATGCAAAATTTCATATGCAGTTTCAGCAGCACCAGTCGATATTTTCACGGCTGCAACTCTGGGGCGAGCGGAGCTTGGAAGGGAGTCAGTGGTAGGGAAATGTTTAATCAAGGACAAACCCAGCATGGATCTTGTTGAAAGTAGGAGAGACCTGGGGGCAAGTCTTGCTTCCTGGCTCAGATTGCTGCCATCATGGGGGCATGGTTGTGTGGTGCATCCTTGGACTTCAGTCTCCAATAAACAAGAGTAGCTTTAAGCCAGTAGACAGTTCATGGGCTTGCTTGTTTGGCTGACTGGATGCTTCTAGAAACTAGAAGATGGTTCCAACCAAATGCTCCAGTCTGATCATTTCCTGTCCATCTTATGCTTCTTCTCCCATTTTGGCCATGACATATGTTCCCATGCGCACCTTGACAGAATGTAGCATTTATGTTCAGTTATTATTTGAGTCAGAGTTTCTCTGTAGCTTTGGAACCTGTCCTGGAACTTGCTCTGTAGACCAGGCTGTTCTTGAACTCACAGAGGTCCACCTGCCTGTGCTTCCTGAGTGCTGGGATTAAAGGTGTGTGCCACCACTGCCCAGCTAAGTTCAGTTATTATTGAGGGCAGATGGCATCAGAGTTCAGAGCTCGGTTTCTGGAATTGACATCCCATTGTGCACTAACCTGCTGTGTGATCAGGTACCAGATGCTTACCCTCTGTATGGGGGAGGGGTAACGGGGCAAAACCCTTACAGGAGGTTCTATATGCTGTGTGCTTAGCTCAGAGCCCCTCTCAGGAAGTGGGGGGTCTCCACTGTGCTGGGATTTTATAGCCCCCTTTCAGCTTAGTCTCTTAGAGGAAACAATGCAAATGTGCAACTGGTATAAAACCATTTTGCACTGGTTGCTTAGCCAATGGTGATGCACACTGTTTTTCCTGGCTCTGAGGTCAATCTCACCTCCTTTGACTTTCCCCCAAGGGGCATGCAGAGTTAGGGAATGAGAATCCAGGTGAATAAGTCCCTCCTCTGGTCTCAGGAGCCCGTTTCTGTACATTAAGTGGTTGTGCAAATACAGAACCTAGGAGCTTTCTGGAGGGACTTTCCTGGACTACTTCCTCAGGAGTACGGGGATCTTGTGAACTTGCCCTCTGCTGGGTTTCCACCCACAGCAGGCTGGAAACCATGGCTTTAACGGCTCTGCCATTCACCAGACCATGCTTTGAACATGGGCAAGGCTAGTGAACATTAGATCAGTTTAACGAAGTTTATCAATCCCCTGCTGTGTCCTCACAGGGACAGCATGATAGGAGCTCTGGTAGGAGGGCCATGCTGAGAGGAAAAACTGGGGGTGTAGTAAGATGCACGGTGAGTGGGCGGGCAGTGTTTTTCCAAGAGAGGCCCTTAAGTCTAGTTGGGTGGGTGTTAGCAGAGATCAGGGGACTGTGGACTTCCATACAGGAGTACTCACTTTGAGATAAGACTAAAACCGACAGAAGGGAGCAGAATGTTTTTAGTTGTGTTAGTTGTAAGAATCAAGAGAAATGTGGAGCAAGACATTCAGATCCTACTTGAGGGTCGTCCACTCTTTGTTCATATGGCTGAGGGTAAGGAAATGGAGGCTACGA